GTGTAAAACACTCAGTTTTCTGTAGAATCAGATTTTCAGAGGGCTACACAGCTTAATTGTCACAGTTTTTTTTACTCACAAAAAAAAGGGCATGCTTGAATTGCTGAACTTGTTTGAATTACACTTTTTCTATACAACCTGGGGAAGTTATGAACTCTGTTCTGCCACACAAAAAAAATAAAAAAAACTTCACTAGGTATAGGAGATACAGTAAGGGATGATGATGAAATTTCGGAGAGGGGAACCATCAGAGAAAAATCTGCAAATACTCAGTTCTGCGTGCTGGTTTTGCTTAGTGCTACACATTTGCAGTACTATCTGTTTTCCACTTTAATGTTAGTAATGTTTGGGTTTGCTTTGCTTGAATGACTTGGCCATAATGTTAATTTGATTTTTAAAATCCTGTGTCTTGGAGAGGAGAGCTGTTTAAAATATGGTTTTGAGAGCATCCTTGTTCTTGCTGGGAGGTCAGCTGCCGCTTTCTGAAGCACCCAAGTCTGTTTCTGAGCGTATTTGTGATAGAGGATGGCACGCAGGTTTCTGTTATGGATACTGGAAGATTTTTCTATTCTTTTTGGTTTTCAACAAAAGGTACTTTGTCTTCTCATCACAAATTCTTTCAAGCTTTATTATCACTCTTGAGAATAGGCTCTTGAACTCCTAATCAGGTAGCGCTTTTTTCCTTCATCGTCCTTTTTCCTTTTCTGCTATTAAACACCACAAAGTATGAGAAATAATCTGTTTAGTTCCAGATAAGGTAAATCAGTGCCCTTATAATCACTGAATTAGACATGGTCCTTCAGGTAAACTGCTTCAGGAAATGGGTGATCAGAGTGTGAAGCGGGGCGCAGGCTTTTCTGAGCAACTGTTCTCATGAGCTGGCTGAAAGCAGAGAGATAAATACTTTGCGGTAGGGCAGCGGCAGCAATATTAATAACTGCTCTCGGTCTCCGCACGCGAGCGTGCGCACAGGGGACAGAGACTTGCAGGTTGGCTGCTGTCGGATTTGTAAGCCCCTTGCCGCTGGCAGGTGGTTTTTAAGCGGCAGTAACAAGCGGCTTGCGCTCTAACGGCTTCATCGGGCCCACATGTGTCTCCTGCAGAATGGCATTATTACAGGGTCACTTCTGGCAGCAGTGTGAGCCGAGGGGATTCTCTGAACACAAACACGGAGGGGGTTTCTCCTCCTCCCCTCCCCCAGACATTGTCTTTGTTAGCTTGGCTTTCTTCAGACCAAGCTCAGGAAGAACTGAAAGCCAAATACATATAAATGGGGGTGAGAGGGGAGAGGAGGAGCGAATCCTCATCTTGCTTTATTTTAGGAGACAGAATGGGTATTAGATTGGTTTTTTTGTTTGGTTGGTTTGGTTTGGTTTTTTTACAAATCTTCCAAGGCAACCCCTGTGCCGGTTCATCTCCTTTTCAACCCCTGTTAATTAATGAATTTACATTGCTTACACAGATAACAGCTATCGGATATAATCTCTTGTTCTGGGAGTTGGATTTTAGCTGAAAACCGTAATAGCTAGCCCACTGATTATTTTGTGGGGGTGTAGTGGATATCCTTAGATTACACCATCGTGTTATTGTAATTAACACACTAATTGTGTTTACTTCCATGTGGTGACAACTAGGCACCACAGCAAGGTTTGAAGCTGTAGCTTGCTGGGTTCATACACAGGTCCTGTCCTAAAGACAACTCTTCCAACCCGTTCAGCAGCGATGGCTGCTAAGGATGACCTTTAAAAATAAAAGTTCAGTGTTAAAGACTTTGACCATATTCTTTGCTCTTTAGTGCATGGAGTAAGATTATGGTTTAATTAAGGATAATATAGAAAACAGGAACAGGAGGAGAACAGGAATGTATTTATGCTCTAGAGAGAATATCAGCGTTCACATCATCCCATTGATCTTTGTTTTATTGACACTTTTTCCTGTTTTATTTAAGTAAACATGAGTTTGTGTGGGGAAAGACAGAAGAAGGAGGCAGAAGGGCTTTCTGTGTAAACATCCCATTTCTGTTTCTCTGGATTCGCACATAAATATCAGTGCTATGGGATCATGTGGGGAAACATAGAGGTGCTTGCTGTGATTGCCTTCAGGCATCCCTCATCTTCCATTGTGGAAGATTTAGGGAAGCTCAGTCTTCAGCTATTAACGTCCCTCTGATCACTCTACATAGGGTAAAAAACCTTCCATTTCGTGTTCCTTGCGATCAGGTGAGCATCCCTGCTCCTGCGCTGATTTTTGCAGCGCTGCCATGCTGCAGGAAACGCTGGGATTGCATGGCAGGGAGCTCACCTTGTCGTCGCAGCCTCCTGTCCCCCCCCCCAGCTCCTTCCCTTGGCCACCTTCCCACGCGCTTGCTCTCTGCGCAGCAGGGAGGACTGAACCTCTCCAGACACAACTTCAGAGAGCAGGTAAACATGGTTGCTGGTGAAACTGCAGAGATGTCTAAACAGAAGCACGTCCAGAACTGCAGCAACAAGTGAGATAACTTGAGTTGGAAAACATGACATAATTTTTTAAGGCAGCTTCTTGAAAATCTGGCCCTAGGTGTCAGACTTTCCTCTTTTTCCTGGAAAAAAAACAGTGAATGCACTGTAGTACAAGACCAAAATAGAATTTGTATGTAGTGTATTTTCTGCGGTTGTCCATAAAAGAATCATTTAAAAATACATAGTAACACATTTACTGCATTACCTTGTTAAAGCAATGATGGTCTCTGAGCAGGGGTTTTCTAGGGATTAATGGCTAAAAGGGCCTAGATCTGCAGCTGATGATCACCATTAACCCCATCTGGTCAATAATCCTTGTTAATCCACTTTTATTGGCCAGAGGGTCTGCCTGGCCTAGTGGTTAGCATAGTACACTGAGACTGCAGCTTCACTGCTGTTTGAAGGAAAATGAAATGTGAGCTGCTGCTGAAAGGAGGGGACAAATCCAGGCCCAGATCTCCAGCTGTGTGTTCCTACTAGCAATTGCATCCTTAGTTGGATCTGCTTGGCGATCCAACTGAAGCTAATCGTTTTGTTTTGTGAAGTTAATTTCCAGCTGGACTCAGTTGCCGCTGGAGCCAGGTGATGGTTAGTGCTGGCAGACGCAAAGAGCCAGCCCTGTGGAGGGAGCAGCACCGGAGGTTCGGCAGAGAGCAGCCTAACCTAAATGTAAAACTATAGTTTTGCCTGGTAAGCCCCAGCACCCCTCTAGAGGTTTGAACACCAGGCATCCCACATGAAGTGCGTGGGAGCTGGGAGCACTTTGCACTTTAGCGAAATCTTTTGACTTGTTTGTGTTTTGCTTTCCTACTTGGGAGGTAAGCCATGCTTTATGTAGTATTTAGGAAATCTCAGGTGAAGGTACAAGGCCTGGGATCGTCAGAAGCACGGCTCTGCGCTGGCTGTTGGTCGGGCGCCCCAGTAGTAGGAGCATGCTGGGGCCAAGGCTGCCCTTGTGCCTTTGGCTTCTTTTTCATTTCTGTTAGAAACTACGAGCAATATGCAGAAACTCAGGCCATATCGTCAGCTAATGCAAATTACTTAGCTACATTGGCATCAAAGATGATGCATCCAAACAGCGACAGAGCTGGTTTGTGAATCTCATGTGAGGGCAGTGCAAGCTTCAGCTGGTGCCTGCTGTGCGTTTGTAGAAAGTGCAGCATCGCTGTCAGTTCCTAGGCATGTGGCCTAAGCAATTTCTTCCTGCTATAGAAGTGAGCTTTCTTGTGCTTTGAAGGTGGGTGCTGTAATCCACAGTTACTTCTTTGAGGGAACATTGAATAACTCAGACTAACAACTTTTTTTGACTAAATTATCAGTCAGAATTATTCTCAAGAACATACTATCATTATTCATTATATCCCTTTAGGTCTTGGTCTAATTGTTATATACCGTCCAGGTTTATCTCCCAATTTGGATGTGGCTTTTCAAGCTTGTAACAGGCCTTTGTTACTGTCATGAGCAGAATCTTAAGTACAGCCTTTAACAAAGGGAATAGGTCTTCTGCACTGTTGCCTTCGTTTGCTCTGCCAGGAAACCTCTCTTCACGCAGGGGGAAATATTTCCTCGTGTCTTTCTTAGAGTAGCTCTTCACGCATAGACAACCACGGGGCTGCGTTACTTCCTGCTAAAAACCTTTTTAATGGCTGAGGGCTCCAGTTTAGCTGGAGGGCAGAGCAGACTAGGGTAAACTGATGACAGGCAACCTTTCCTACCCTCACAATACTTCCTGTGGCAAGAACTAACAGCTCATGGCAATTGTGAAAAGGCATGGGGCGGGGGGAAAGGGGAGGTATGCTTTTTGCGGGGTAGGTGCTGTATCATAACACTTGTGACTGAATCCACTGCAAGGCCCTTACCTGCACTTTGACCTTTTCAGCTTTGCTTCCCGACGAGCTGAGGACCCTCCTCGAGGAGGCAAAGGGAATGAAGTGGCCCTTTGTGCCAGAGAAGTGGCAATACAAACAAGACATAGGCCCAGAAGACAAAACAAATCTGCAAGATATGATCAGCGCAAGGCTCCCTGATTTACTGGTATGAAGTGCAACACACCTGCTCTGTAAAACTTACCGCGGAGGTGCTTGAGTGGGCACAGAGCCCCTGTAGGTAGTATTGGGATTTCAGAGATGGTTTTTTTCTGCACTGTAGCTGTAGCAGGTGACACCCTGGTTGGCAAGCTGAGGGGAGCGTGTCAGAATTTGGGAAGGGGCTGCTCACAGGGGCCAAAGGGCCAAAGCAAGAGATGGGGCTTCGTTACAGTGCTCAGGCAAGAGAGGGACCCAGAAGCTACAAATCATTTCAGACTTTTTTTCGTTAAAGTTGTTACGAAGCAATCTATGTGAATCACGGTTTCATCATCTTTGTGAGGCAGCTAATCTCCACCTCACTTTGGCGTGTTCAAAGGGAATAGAAGGAGGCCAAGTCCTGCTCCCAACCACTGCCTGACTCCAAGTAGGTAAAATCAGTCGGAGCTCTACCTCAGGGTTAGATTAGATTTCTGGTCCCTTGGCTACGTAGCCCTTGGAGAGTGTATGTGCAGCGCCCCGGGAGACGGGACAGTCAGCGCTCAGGTTTGGGGATCTGGCTGGTAGCTGCAGTTTTATGTGCTCTTCCAGGCCAGGGAAGATAAAATGGATTGAGGGGATTATGTTTTCTCTGTGTCCAGGCATTTGACTGCCACTATACAGAGAAGAAAGTGCCTAGATATTAATGCAAAGTGCAGAGCAGAGGGCACTGGCTCTGCCTTGTCCACAAGTGATCAGAGGGATGTGCAGGGGTCTTCCCTGTACTGAGCCCCTATCAAGACCAGAACTTTGTTCCCTGAAACGTGCAATGATGACTTTTTTAATGCCATTTTTACCTGCTTTGTGCTCTGCCCACAGGAGGTTGGGCGCTCGCTCTGTCGGTTCATCTGGGTCCACAGTGCAGTTCTGTTTCCAGTAATAGAGATGAACGTTTACCTCTTCCCTGGAAATCTCTAAAATGAGAAATGTTTATGTAAAGTTTTAGAAAACAAGTTTTTTGAACAGAATTATGTGCATTTTTTAAATCAGGACTGCTAGGAGGAAGTAAGGATTACTTGTCTTAGTAGGGTTTGCATAACTGGATACCTGCTTTTTCAAGAAAATGACTTGACGGGATCCCTTTGGGCATGTAAGCTGGCCAAAGGCAGGAAAGCCAAGAATGCACTCATGTAATTTCTCATGTGGGTAAAGGATGTTCGTCTGAGTAAGGAGGTGAAGGATCCGAATTGTGCTTGGGGATCTCCTCGTGAAAGTTGAGGAGTGTAAGATGAGAAAGCAGGAAGAAATGCTGGATTGCTTTTTGTTTTTTCTAATTTTCCCAGAGAGATGTCAGACATGACTTGTAGCAGCTAGAGGACTCCCTTTTCAGTGCTAAATGTGATATCTAGCCTGATGAGTATCTCTTTAGCAGGACAGACATGAACTAAAGATGAGGTGTTTGATTTTCTTGTGCTTACTGTGCTGCGCATCCTAAGCCAACGCAGTCCTCATGGGAAGGGCCAGTCTGGCCTGAAAAGCTGGCCCCACTGCAATCGGGCTACAAAACTGCTGTTAACTGTAAGGGGGGCAGGAGATTTTGCCTGTTTCAGTGAGAACGCTGCCCAAATAAAGTCAGCAAGTTTTTGTTTAAGGACACTGGTAATTTCTAACACAACAGCAATGAGAAGTCCAAAAAAAAAAAAAAAAGCCAACGACAAGGTTGCAAGGTTGTGACTCCTGCGAAGCAGAGATTTCGGCCCAAGCATCCCCTTGCCAGTGTTGTACGTTGCTGGAATTCTGAATTTGGTGGTTGGTGGGGGGAACGGGACTCTTCTTGGGTATTTATTTTCTTCTTCTCTTTGGTGTGTGTGGCTTTAGACAGAAATTTATGGCAGTGGTTGACCTCCTTTACAATCCCCGCACAGCACTCTAACTTTGGAGCGTTTGTCTGCTCTCTCCCAGGATAAACACCTGCAGTAAACTCCCTGAGAGACCTGGAGAGATGGGAGATTAATGTGACTGTAATAGTGGAGTGGTGTTTTCAGCATTATACCCTCTCCCCAGGTAGATGGGTCTTTTCTGAGATGATACCAATTATTTATTGCTGAAACATCTGTTGATAACTGCAGCTGCCCTTGTTAAACAAAGCATATCATGGGGTCATAGACTATAGGGACCTAAAATCCTACCGCATGCTAGTTTTAGACTATTCACCAACACCCCCTGAAGTCCATTGGTTACCGTTGTCCTCAATGTTTCATCATGCGGGTGAAAATACTTTGTAAACATTGTGCTGCCTTTCCCCATGTGCTTTGAAGTATTATTTCATCTTCATTGGTAATTTATATGCCAGTGCTATTGTACCATGGGAAAAAAGGGAAAACCTTTTTTGTTTTCCATTTAATTGTAGAAAGACTGACATTTTGACCTGTATTATTAGTATTAGTCAGGAAAAGGGATTTTTTTCCCCCTTCATCCATTCCCCTCCCCCTGCTCTTTTTTTTTTTTTTTTAATAAAATTTCAAGGCAGAGCAAAGGCTGCTTCAGTGCTTTGAATAAAAAGCTGGGGGGGAAATGAGGCTGAAGAGAAGTGATTACAGTGTGATGAGGAAAGATAAAAGTCTGAACAACTTTTTTCTTCTTCTTTTTTGTTTTGGCATGAGGGACAGAGGGATAATTTAATTCCCTAAAGGAGAAATAAGTCTTTGTCAACTTATTGTTCAGAAAAACCTTTAAAATTTTTCATCTGTTTATTTTAATTTGCCATGCTTAGAATAAGCTCATAAACCGTAATTCATTATATTTTAAAAGTGCTTTGAGATCCATGAATGAAAGGCACTTCATTACCATAACACACTGGCGCTGTTATGAGGGGCCAGATCTGGCTACCAGTGCTCGTGATGAGGATGTTTTACTCAGTGAGTAGACTGAAAAGCTCCATGAGACCAGCCCGGGGAGTAAGCGGATTAGGCTTTGGCTTCAAGGGTTTGCCTTAGTGTCGCACTTTAGAAAGTGGGATACCCATTGGTGGCGGCTGCATGCTAGCTAGTTTGACGCATCAGGAAGGCAAAGCCACCTGCACCTGCATCCTTTTAAAGTGGCCTTCTTTGCCTTTGCTGTGGGATCATTACTTCTGCATGCTGGCCAAAGCAGTAGGAAGGCATGGCAAAAACAGATTTGGGGCGGGAGGGGAGAGGGAGTGAAGAGAGGGGACAGGCGAGCCAGAGTTTCCTCAGCTCTCTCGCTGCAGCCTAAGTTCAGTGGGAGTCACGCTGCCCTGTAGAGTAGAGCTCCGGGTAGAGTTTGGCAATATAAACACTTTTCTTTTCTTCTTTCTCTCTCTAATATATAAAATTACCAAACCTCCCTAGGGATTTGAAGGCAGCAAATTTGTGGTAATACTTAGCGCAAACCAGCACTTCTGGTTTTACAAGATCTTTGCATCTTCTAGAATGCTTTGCTTATTTTTTTCCCCTACTGGGGATTCATTAACCCAAAGAAAAAGGCCAAACACGTTGAACATACCGTTTCCCCATTCTTCTAGCAGATTTTAAGAGAACCGCATTGTTAGCTGCTATCAGCTAGCAAACTGGGCCCCTTCGGGCAGCCTCCTTCTCAGCCACATCTCCCACTCCATATGGTGGGAGTTTGTGCTGAGGTCCACAGTACAATAACCAGTATTTGTTGCCGAAGCAAAAACTTGGAAGCGCTAGGATTTTTTTGTTGTTTTATTAACAAGTCAAAGCAAAATCAGAATTATCACAAGACCTTGCTGACGAATGTAAATATAGAGCGATTACTTTTTTTCTTAAAACCCACTTGTTCTGCAGGGTTAGAACTGGAGCTGCACTTCCAAAACGGAGGCTTCTAGTGGTTCCCCTTCCTGCAGATCTCCAGATCAGAAGGAAGTAAGTGTCAGAAGTAATAGAAATATCCTTCTGCTCTGTAACCAGCCAACAGAGGGCAACATGTCCATGTACACGTAGGCTTTGGTCCAGCAAACCCTATCATGAGCTTTCACCGAAAGACTACTGCGTGCACACAGGTCATTCTCTTGTGGGATTATTCATGCGATGTTAATTTTTTGCAAGATCAGAGTCCATGCTTAAACCCACCCTAATGATGTAGGATTTCAGTTATTATCTTACATATCAATAGCTACTGTGGCTGGCGCAGGTGGCTCAGACCGTGGATAGGAAGTGTGGGACAGGAACAGTGCAAACACAAAAGCAAAGTCCGACCTTCAACGATTTCATCATTTAAGGCCTTGCCCATGCAAAAACACTGAGGAAAACAATTTGCAGTTCATGTTGGAGTGGACTACTTAAATGACCTTAAATCTGTGGGCGACGCTGGCCTTGGATTGAAGGTGGCTCGGTGCAGTCTTGAGTGCAGGGGGATGCAGGGAGCCCTCAGTTTTGCAGTGGCAGAGGGTCTGCTCGGTGGGCACTTGCCCTGCACCTCGGAGGCTCCCCATGAGCGGGTCTCGTTGAGGTGCCTCCCCAGCCGCGACAGGAGCTGTGCAGGCTCATCCCCTGCTCCCTGCCATGGACAGGGGGAAGTGGATGCTCTGGCCCTGTTTGTGCAGAACCTCATTGAAGTTAATGGGAATGTTGAAGAGAATAGAAAATAGGCCCAAGCAAGGGCTGCGGGGACTTTGGCTAATTACGTACTGGTGGATTATCATTAGGGAAACCCTTCTGAGGGAAGTACCCTAACTAGTGTTAGGTGGATGTGTGGCGCTTGAGAGCTGGGAGCCTTTGATAAAGAAATAAAGAAGGGGCTGAGGATTTAGTTTTCTTCGCCTTGTACCTGTTGGTGTGGTAACAGGAGAATTAAAGCCCTAAATCTTAGCCCTGGGATCTTAGATGTTCAGGCTGACCTTTTGCTACCTGCCTCGTAAGAGCTCTTCTCGGGTGATCCCGGTGAAATGGGGAGTGACGTAACTGAGAACTGTAGCCGTGGGCCAAATTCAGCACAAGAGGGAATTCATGGCCTCGCAGCCTCCCTTATGTTGGGCTGATTGCTGAC